CCAACCCCCTCAATCGTTTGGCTGCGCTCCCGGTCCGCGCTTATTCCCAATCCTGGCTGGGGGGGGAGGGGGGGGGTTTATTAATCAAAACCACACATTAAAATACAATACAAACTAAACCCCCGGATGTGGGTTTTTATATTAGGGGGAGGGGGAAGGGGATTAAGATTGGGGGGAAGGGATTAACAGTCTAGAGTAGGTTAAGGCGCGGTAATTACGCAGCTTTTGCCAAAGGTGTCGGGGTCATTTTGGCTGAAGGGGTCGAAGCTTTCGTTAGTCAAAGCGCAGCAGGTCTCTCTGAGTCTCTCTGGCTGAGCTCGCCAAGCGATCTGAGACTGGCCCGCGGTCTGAACACCAGCTGTTCTGCCTATTCCTCGTACTGCCTTCAACAGTGACATGCTGACCTTCACCGAAATTGTGCGATTATCACAAACGCAACAACTGATCTCAGCGTGCTTACCAGTGCTACTCTTCTTCCTGTCAGTGGCGAGGCCATCTCTCCCGAAGATGAAGATCATGACGACCATGACCCCAAACCCTGAACTACAAACTCTCCATATGATGCCGCTGTTACTTCTTGCAGCATCCTCCCCCCCTTGTAAGATTCTCTCAAGATGCATCAAGCTCGAGGCTAAGTGCGGACTGTAGCCCTGAACTCATCAAACACAGACAGAGATCGACGAGCCCCCCCCTTCTGCAAAAAAGCTGCATTTTCCTAATTCGGTATAGGCTCTAGTCCCGACTTCCTCCAACAATGAACCCTTGTACCCCACACCCGCTTACATCTGCACAAGGGTAAAACCTACACCCTCAACAATAGAGTCTTAAATAAAAGCCTTTCAAACGTTAATAACAACAACAGGATAACAACAAGAATGCTAAGAAAAATAACAACACGAATAATCATAAAACACTGGTAACTGCAATATACTGTAATAACCCGACTGATGCTAATGATTATAATTTAATAACGGTCCTAAACTCGCCGTACAAAATCACGGCCCGGGTCACCTCGTCGGTCCCCGGGGCCGCTGCGCTGGTAGCGAAGTCCTCCAAAACTGGGGCGGCCTGGCTAGAACAAAAGAAACAAAGACACGGATATCCGTGCAAGGATGCATGTATGTATGTCCGTACATCAGATGTTTATGTTTTATATGTTAGGTGTATATATATATATATACATGTATATATGTATATTTATGTATATATATATATATAAGTGTGTGTGTTGTTATGTATACCTATATATATATATATATAGATACATACATACATATATATATATATACACATACATATACATATATGCTATGTGATTATATCCCTATGTGTATGTATATATATATATATGTTGTATATATACATGTACATGTACATGTATGTGTGTGTGAATATTATGTGTATAGGTAGTCAACATGTATGAATATATATATATATATATATTAATATATATTAATATATATATATATATATGTATATATATATATACATATGTACACATAAAACCATGAACGTGTAATGGTTATCTTGTCCTTCCAGCGGTTGGCCTCTACAGTTTCCTACATGCTGTCACGTCGTTACCCCTGGCCTCTGGATTCCGGATCCATAACCCTCCTCCTTAAGATGCGATACTGGCCGGAATACAACTTGTATAGAGCCAAGGCCTTGGCCACAGGCTCTGTCGGCGAAGCCACAGTTGGAGAGGCATCTGCACCTCCTGTTGGAGGCTCCTGGAGAGGCTTTATACGAAACGGCCGCTCCGGGTCCAGACCCTGGTGACAATTCTTTCTTGGTCGTAGATGGTCTAAACAGCATCAGGTCATGAATCTACGAGATATGGTTTTGTGTGCCGTCCTGAGCCTTCGGCTTCACCGGCGCCGGGCCTTTTGCCTTGAACTTGGGCTGAGGCATAGCCTTGGGTGGTGGGCTTGCCTTCAAAGGCAAGCCGCTTTCTGCCTCTGCTGGTGCCTTGGGGGCCATAGGCATCGCTTTGAGCTCCGGAGCTTTTGGAAGCTCGCTGGGATCTGGCCGGAAGCCAGAGAGAAGCTTCTGTGCCGCAGCTCTCAAGCCCTCGGGGACTCCAGAGAGCTCCTCCATCAAGGACTGCAGCACCAGGCGATTTCTGCAGCGGATGGCTCTTTCCAGCCGGCGAAGTTGGGGTGCTTTGAAAATCAAGGAGAGCTGGTTGCGCACCTTGTTCTGCATCAGTCGAAACTTCTGGCCTTCCGGCAAGCATCTCTCGAAGTTTGCGGGGCTCTTCTTCTCGCCATCCTTGGCCAACCGCGAGTACGAAGCGATGCGAAGCATTGCAGGTCCATGGCAAATGTATCGTGAATGTCCTCTACCAGTCGCACCTAGTAACTTAGTACCGAAGGCGTGCTTTCAAGCTACTGAAATGGATCGCCGATTGCATCAACACAAGTCTCAATCTGCGGTGCTACGTCGCGTCATGGTTCCCTCAATAACGACATTCAACTGGAAAGACAGATCGAAAGACCGATGCCGTCGATCTACTTCCCAAAGCTCTCAACCCTTCGCTTCTCCGTTGAATCTAGAAATATGTTTGCAGAAACCTTCAAAACCCAACGGGCACACTGCAACCGCAAACACAACTTCCCGCTAAGAAGGAACCTGTGGATGTGCCAGCAAAGGCGCTTCATCAGGTCCAGGACAGGTAATCTGTCGACCATCCGATGCCCAGAAGCACCACCTGTGGCTCTTTTCACACGAAGTTTCAAAACAATAGTGTACTGATACTGGCTCTCAAGTTGCTCTTGCGACTGTACATTCAAGCCAACCAATTGCTTCGCCCGTCCCCCCCTCTCACCCTCCCTCCTTGTTTTCTCCGCCCTCCCGCGCTCCCAAGCACAACGAACTTTCAATACTCTCCTAATTTAGTTCGACAAATGTGGTTCGTAACTCATGGAGGGTCGTGGGTTGACTCCCTCCTCAGCAAAGACGGGACGCTGCGGCCCCCCTCCTTGAAAGACACTCCCTTCCGCCACTTCTCCCAGGCTTAAGAGGCGTGTCAGGCCCCCCGAGCATTTGCCCCACCTGTTGTCTTTGCGGGGATCTGAGGGGGGAGTGAAAGCTGCGGCAGGGCACTCGACCACTCCGTCTCCTTCCTTTCCTGAGGTCGGACCGGCGCCACTCTCGTTGTTTCTCTCTGGCTCTCAGCCTCTCGCCTGGCAGAATACCGTAGTAAAACGTAAATGGGCTCGATAACGCTTTCTCGGAATGAAAGCCTGGCTTTGCATGCAGAGGGTAGTGGGTATCAATAGCTTGGGCATCCAGAGGCAGGCCACAACATTCACCCCATGAGAGAAGCCCTGTGTCATGTCCGAGTGCCACTGCGGCCAAATGACTCATCGGACAGCGGACACGGATATCTCTGTGCGGAGAAGTTGGCCGAAGAGTCGTACCTCAGTGAAGCAGGCATTATGCAGTCAGCACATCGACACCTGAGCCAGCTATGTCCTTGCTGGCAAAGAGCCCCCCTTTTTGCTTCGCAAAGCCGGCGTCGAGCACTTCGGCCCGAAGGAGCAGGCGTTTAGGGTTGAGGCGGTTGAGGATCTTTTAAGGCTCATGGGATGGGGTGGGGCATGTGGGGCAAGGCTGGCAAGGCTGGTGGCTTGGTGTGCAAGGCATGACCCAAGTTCCCTGAATACCAGCCTGAACTTTATATGGCCGTCAAAGTGGGACGCACTACGACCCGGGTGTTAATGGACACGATATGCACACCAGCCCCGCCACGTGCAGGCACGAACCTTCAAGTTCATGCCATGCTATGCGTTCCCTATGGATCTCTTTCGAATCCATGAGCTTCGTAGGGTCTAGCCACGGCATCGTGTAGTTCGGCTATCGAGCTGGGCTCCGACAAAAAGAGGAAGGAAAGGCATTTTGCCTGGCGTCCGAAACCGACGCAGACTCTGACACTCGGGCCTCCCTCACACTTTCATGAAAATCACAGCATCTGCACAACAATCTCTGTCCATGCTGCAAGCCGCTACTTCGCAAACTGAAGCTCGGGAAATCCAAACTTTGGTTTTCAAGGCCGCGAGAGAAGGCAGTAGAATACATGCCTCACGCATCAAATCACGAGTCGACTCGACAAAGTTCGAAGGCCTCCCGAGAGCTCAGCTGGCATGGGCAGATCCGAGACAGCTTCTAGCCAAATAGGCTAATAAATGATCAGGCTAGGACTTTGGGCTCCCTTACAATTCAAGTATATCGTCCCCCTATATAATAATAATAATAATAATAATAATAATAATAATATATATATATAAGGGACCTTTCCAATTTCCGAATCCCCTTTAAAGTAGCCAGAATCGGTTCCTAGATTTGTGGGCCCCCGAAGCATGGCCTGACTTCTACCAGACATTGCACTCGAGTCACGGCACCGGACGACAAGCCTTGCATTTCTAAAAAGCCCTGTGCATTCCTGCAATTCTACTTTTTGAACCCAGACTCAAATCCTGCACCAGCTGGGAAGCGGCAGCCTAATCCCGCAACCCTAAACCCAGGAAGATTAGTGTTGACAGTAGATGAAGTCAAAGCTGAGGCCTCAGGCGCTAGAGGACAGCAGCGTCGAGAAGATACCGGGAGGCTCCGGTCGATTGCGCATTCCATCGCCCGCAGAGACCTTCCTGGTTTGTGGAGCTTACATGCTGACTTTGGGGATTCAGGTTGATAAGCTTATACCATCGAAACCCAGCTTGAAATGCGAGGGACCGAGATGCTTGTGTATGTCATGTTTTCTACCACAGCAGTGACAGCCAGTCCTGGATTACTGGATGTTCGTCCACCCCACCCTGAAAGGCTCAAAGCCTGCAGTTCGTCTTTGATCGTCGCTGTATGTTGTACTTTGGGGGCTGCCGACACCAACGGCGCTGAATTGCTCGTCCGGGCTTCTTGTACTCCATGAGCTTCGCCAACTCATCAGGACAGTACTTGGCGACCGTGTTGTGACCGTGCGCCTGCTCTCTGTGAAAGGCTATAAGCCTAGTCTACTCATATATCCGAGCGCTTTCGGACTCTGTTGGGGGGTCAGAACCTTGTCTGCCCAATGATGCGGTTTAGCGCAAGCTTTTGCATGGTACTCAAGCGGAAGCTGGGATACCACATGATACCACCAGGTGTCATGACACCCTTTTCACCTAACATCAAGTCTTACCGACAGAGAGCTTCAATGATAATGGCCTTGTTCCAGCGGAAGATGTAGAGCAATGCATCCGAGCATTGCTCGAAAATCACCTTGGTAGCTTTGAAACATATGGAACTAAGCGTGCCAAACTTCTCGAGTCCACTGGCTCGATGATCCGACCGGTTCGAAGCCGATCGACCAATCCGAATCGCACGTCCAACTTTCACATTGCGGCTCAAGCTCCATATAATTCTATATACTATCTTCAAGCTCAAGAGCCGGATGCCCCAAGGCTGGAAATGCTAGTCCTTAACATCCCCGATCCGACTCATGTTGCTGGAAACCCTACGCAACCAGCGTCTACTGCCGAAGCGCCATGAAGCTCCCGGCCAGAGAGGCCGCCAACGTCCCTGCCAAGAGGGCGACCTGGGGCACTCGGGGCATAGATGAATGGCACAGCTGTACGCCTCTACGCATACATGCTGCATACTGCATACCGTGTGGCATGTCGGGTCTTTTGTGTCAACATGCCACGCAAAGTTCCCGGGTTCAACGAGTCGGCGATGAGGCATGAGACACAGCCTCTATTATGAAACACGAGACATGTCTGAAGGATGCAAGCCAGACCTCACAAGTCGGTTAACCATCTAGGAAGCAACGAATGAGTAAAATGCCGGGAGCAGTCATGTTCCCGCAGAGAGATGACGGCGAAGGCCGTTGGCAGAGCACGCGGAACAGCCATGCTAACTCCAAATCAAAGTAACAGCCATAAGACTAGTCATGGTCAAGGAGTGTGATTCAGAGTTCAAGTAGAAGGTGCAGCGGTGAAAAGATGAGGCCTCGTTCCAGGCAGTGGCACATGACTGCAGCCTTCTCGGGGATGCGCGGACAACAGGCAACATCCCAAAGAAACGACCTAGGAAGCGATGGCCTTCTCACAATGCTGCAACGACATCCTTTTGTTCTTCTTGTGAACGTGCGGCTTTGACCAACCGGGACCTAAAGCATTACAGTCCCAAGAATCGTGCATGACATCTTAGTGCCAAAGCGAGCTCTAGACACCTTCTGTATCAAAGCTTGACATTCAAAAGTCCAAGAGATGCGTTTCATTATCTACCACACCAGAAGGGCCAAAAACCACTCACCAGACGAGGTGAGCAGGAGTGGCCCCAGCGGCATGAATTAGCCTGCACCAGTAAGGAATTACAGGGTTGTCCTTCCTTGCCTACTCATGAAACCGACCAATGATGCGTCGCGATTACATGAGGGTCTTCTCGTGTTATCTTGACTGTCATTTTTGGTTCGATGAGTACGATCATTACTTATACCCGTACACCTGGGACCTCGCAGGGTCGCTTACGCAAATGATCAGACAACCGCCCACATGCAAGCAAAACCCGCGCTCCTGTGACCTCCTTTGAAGTTCAGCTGTCGGAAAGACAAGAAACAGTGGCCATTACAATATAATATATATATATACACACATATATATGTGGTAGAGCCTTCGGCCCTCAGCTATTTATACTTTGCGTTCCTGGCGTCCGCTAGTTCTTTCAGAGAATGTGGCGCATATTGCACTCGGGGATGGTCGTCATCCTCCTGGTCGAGGAGAAAGGATATGCATTATGATACACCATTGTTGTGGTTCTGACAGTAACACTAATACTACTCCTGCTGCAACTGCTACTGCTACCACCACCACCACCACCACCGCTGCTGCTGCTACTGCTACTGCTACTGCTACTCCTACTGCTACTGCTACTCCTACTACTACTCCTACTACTCCTACCACTACTACTACTACTCCTCCTCCTCCTCCTCCTACTACTACTACTACTACTACTACTACTCCTCGATCGTAAATAGACAAAGTTTACAGGTCCTGCTCATGCTCGTCGTAGCCCATCATCCAGCTGAGGAAGCCTCCAGAGCTGCTGTCTCGACAAGTACACCTGGGAGTGCAGGCCCCCACTTTAATACAAAAGACTAGAGACAAGACCTTGTTTTTCAGAACTCCCCACCTCTCGATGAGGGTAGGATCGTCCTTATGGTGTGGGTTGCTGGCATTTTTCAGCTGCGTGAAGCGCTGCTCCTCCAAAGCCAGGCAGTACAGGATCGTGTCGCCGATAACATCGAAAACATTCATAAAGCTGACGCCAACTGCCAGGCCGAGCACAGCAGCCAAAGCCACGACAGCATCTGGCTCCTTCAGGAACATTTCGTCATCGGTGGCATCTGTAAAACGCGGGTTGCTATGCACAGTCACTGCCATGTACAGCGCCCCCACACCTGTCATCAGAACCCAGCCGCCGAGCTCGAAAATGATCTGTGTCCAAGTCAACACCAACTCCGTGGAGGAATCATCCAAAGTGAATGTCGCATGCTCGGTGGCCTCGCAGTAGTCTGAAGAAGTGATTGCCATGTCCATGTAGCCTTCTTTGCGGAGCAACGCAAACATGAGAGATGCGCTAAAGCTTGTCCCGGAGGATTCCTTGACCTCCCTGTGCTTCGAGTACTTGCAGCATCCCAGCAAAAAGATGCAGTAGGCGAACATTTTTGGAATTCGGAAGAGGGTCTTCAGAAGCGAGCCGAACACGACGGATCCGAAATGGTAACGGAAAAGGTTGCAGGTGGATTCAAAAATCACGCAAAGCCCCGGCACATCCACTTTCTGCTCACCCACATATGGCGTGAAGTACCACCTCTGTGCTATATAGGCCAAGATGTACTGCGTCATATTGTGAACCAGCTCAAGAGTCCATGCGATCAAGAAGGCAAAGTAAAGGATGATCCCCCACTGCTCCTTGCGAAGTTGTAAGTGTCGGTGTATCCCACGCTCGGTTGCGATGAGCTGCATCTCCCCAGTTGAGGCATACTCAAGCATGAGAATGAAGAGGGGGAGCGCGATCATTACCTTCGCCAAGAGGCTGAAAGCAGGTTCTAGTAGCACGAAGGGAAGCTCAAAGAGACATTCGGTAGTAGCCATGATACAGCCTTCCGCAGTCTGGATCCTATTGAATATCTGCTTCAGGGTGCACCAAAGGAATAAGCCAATGGACACGCCTGCTAAGCCCATCCACAAGGACTGCTGAATTTGTAAGTTTCCACTCAGAGCTGCGGTGACCCCTCCTCCTCTGTACACGATGAAGAGGTGCCAAAGCCCGAACGAGGAGGGGATCAGTATCACCAGCACTAATGAGCCATAAATGAGAAATTTCAAGCAACTCCACAGGAAGAGCATGTACATGAAGCCGGCGGCAGTCGAAACAAAAATGACGATCACAAGGTGCAACCGGGCCCTCGCAATAGATGCGATGCAGTCGAGCAATATTCCGGGAGTGTGACCCGCACCTGCCTTGAAACGGGTCACATCCCCGGCCAGCCTCTTGCGTTCGTGCTCCTCCTCTGCCTTCAAGCGATGGGACCGCTGCAGGCATTTCATGTTGAACTCCTCCGTAGGCCAATCAGGCACGAGGAGGGTGCTGTGAGTGTCTGAATCAAAGCAAACGTGCGATGTAGAATTGCTCGTGGGGCAGCTGTCAACACAGATCGGATGAAGAGTGTCGATGCCACTATCCTCCAGCTTGGAGCAGAAGTAGATGAAGCGTCCACAGATCTGACCGGGAGCGCACTCGTCTCGACCACACATCCTACCCATGTAGTCAAAGCCTCGCATGTACTTGGACATGTCGCCTGCCTGCATCGCCTCTTGAATCGGGAAATAGAGCACGCCAAGTGCTGCGATCAGTAGAAGAATCCAGCAAGGGTCGGTACAATGATGATGCCATTGGCCCGGCAAAGGCGCTACGCTTCGCCCAACCGGCTCGTGGCTGGTTTCCACTGAAGCTTCGGCAGCCGTCTCTACATCTGACTCCATGAGCGGCACTTTGGCCATTGCGTCCTCTCGGCTGATTCGCATGGACGCACCATCCCCATTGGAAGTGCGGAGCCCCTTCGGCACCACTGCCATGGCTGTTCTAGACCCACTCGCACACGGCCATGAGCAAAAAGGGCCGCCTAAGCAAGTGCAGCCTCCATGGTTTACAGATGAGGGTGTGCAGCTGTGCGTCCGTCACAATTTAAGACATAACTTTAAGAAACATCATGTGAACGAAGCCTGCCTGTCCATCCATCTGTGTGTGTGTGTGTCAAGCACCGAAGGCAAAGGCTTTCTATCCACTGCGGGCCAACATGCTGCGACGCACAGCATGACTCATGTTCTGTGCACTTCCCACTGCCTCTAGATAGCTGGAACCTAAATGCTTGTCCTACGCGAGACCCCAGCGACGTCATTGCGTGAATGTCTGAAGCCTCGTACCCAGAAGTACGAATCCGCAATCGCACAATCAACTAATCAACTTCCTGAGCAGCTGGATCGCAAGTCTTCAAAAGTCCTTGTAACGCTTCAGGCAAGTCACGAAGTACGGGTTCTCAATGTGCTCACGGGGTTGATCAGGTGTGACCTGCCGCAGCTTCTTGAGGAACAAAGGCGGGTTTCGACGTCTACACGGGCCCGGCTTGCACCGAACAGGCTTGAACCTGCATTCTGCACCTACCCGCCTCCCTAGCTACCCAGCCAGCCCGCCATCTACGATCGATTTCTCGGACCATCCATCCATTCATCCACATGCTTTTGTTCTTTCTTTCGCCAAGGCTGTGGTGCAGGGGGAAAAAACTCTCTCTCTCTCTCTCTCTCTCTTTCTGACTCTTTCTCTCTGTGTATCTATCTGACAATCAACCGATCTATCTATCTATCTATCTATCGATCTAGCGATTTATCTAAGTAGCTGACCAGTAACTAATATTCAACCTATCAATCAATCAGTCGATCAAATCAATCAAATCAGTCAGATCAGTCAGGTTCATCAGAGCAATCAAATCAGATTGAGCAAATCAATCAACCTATCAATCAATCAGTCCATCAGCAAATGAAATCGAATCGAATCAAATCAAATCAAATCAAATCAAATCAAATCAAATCAAATCAAATCAAAATCAACTCAACTCAAATCAAAATCAACTCAACTCAAATCAAAATCAAATCAAATCAAATCAAATCAAATCAAATCAAATCAAATCAAATCAAATCAAATCAAAGTCCAAACCAGTCAGTCAAACAAACAAACAATCAATCAATCCATCCACCATCCTTCGACCGATCAATCAATCTGTCTGTCTGCCCGTTCGTGTGCCGATCTTGTCGCAATACGTCTTGGTTTAACTAGCCTTTTGCATATCTGCTTCTACATTATCTCTTTCTCGCCTTCCAGAGGGCGGGATGTGCGAGATCCCTAGGCCACTAGGGCCCGCCCCTCTCTCTTTTCTTTCGCCAGGGCTATGATGCAGGGGGAAACCCCCTACATCGCGCGCAAGTGCGCCCCCGACGGTTGCGGGTGGCAGTGTGTTACAAGCATGCAAGCTGAGGCAGACAGCGATCAAGAGGGCAAGTTCATGCTACATGCGAACATATCCACTGCCTCAGCTGCTGCTGCTGCAGCATGTCTGGGATCCATCCATGGTATTCATGCGGGCGATGACCATATTTGCACATGAAGAGACCGAACACAACACCATACAACCAGCAGACCTGAAAGACCCTAGCGTAGCTACCGACAATAGCGCAGTTGTGCTTCGCCCTTGGATCCCCGCATGCATTGGGCTTTAGGATGGCTCCTGATGCTTCGAGGTACATCACAGCACCCCTCTCTCTCCCTCTCTCTCTCTCTCTCTCTCTTTCTCTCTCTCTCTCTCTCTCTCTCTCTCTATCTCTCTTTCTCTCCCTCTCTCTCTCTCTCTCTCTCTCTCTCTCCTCTCTCTCTCCCTCTCTCT